TCTCTCTCTCTCTCTCTCTCTCTCTCTCTCTCTCTCTCTCTCTCTCTCTCTCCGGCTCGCTATAGTTTCGTTAACACCCTTCCCCCCTCCCTATCAACATCATTACCGCTAAGCTCACTCTTTACGGCTCCACGAGATTTCATCGCCAAATATTACACGCCGCGCTTCTAACAATGGATACTTTTACTTCCGCTTTTTCTCTTCGATGGCGAATGAGAGAGAGAATTCGTCGGTTTAAAAATCGAACTCAAAAAAAGAAAAAAAAAAAATTTACCTATACCGATTTCTCAAACGTTGATAAGTTTCGCTTACGAAATAATTATCCCGAACGATTGGAAATTTTTTTTCTTTTTCTTTCTTTCTTTCTTTCTTCTTTTCTTTTCTCGATCGCGATGCTAGATTATCGTTTTTGGTTTCCGGCTAACCAATATCGATGACGAGAATTTTATTTTAGTTAACCGGGTAACCATTATCGAAGTCGGAAACTTTATTTTGATATCCATTAACCAATATCGAGAATAGAATAGAGAATGGAAAAAAAAAAAAAGAAAAAAATTTTCCGGTTATTTTCACGACCGTCGTGAATTTTTATCAATATTAATATCGATATTAATATTTACGGGGAAATATACGTATAGAACTTATATATTTTAATCCTCATCCGGTTCGATAACCGTTGTCATTTTTCCTTTTTTTTTTTTTTTTTTTTTTTTCTGAGTTGACGATCACGGCAATAACGCCGATTAATCAGATAAACGAAAAACGAATAAATTTTGATTCGCCTTCGTAGTCCTTTTAAAGTCTATTTAATTCCAACGAATGATCAATTTTCGCAACAACAAATTTTACTCCCCCCCTCCCTTTCCTTCGTCATCGCCATCTTTATATCGATTAGTTTTAGTTTAGCAGTAATAATTAAATGCATATTTGTTTTCATTTTTTATATAATTTCTTATGATTTATATATATTTTTGTTACAGGAGGCCCGCGAACGTTTTCTGCTAGGCCTTACCGAGGAGGTTGGTTGGTTTGCAATCATTAAGATTAGTCGGTAGAATTTTTCTTTCTCCGATTTTCTCGATGTACATCTATATATATAAATATATTTTTACACCTCTATTCACGTACGCATAATGCATACACATAACAATCGTATATTTCTTTTACTTTTCTATTTCTATGTGTATACTGTATGCTTCTCTTGTTTTCGATCGAAAACGTTGCAAACGATATTTAATACTTATCCCTTTTTTCGCGTCGTCCGTGTAATGGCGTAATAGATGAGAGCGTAGAATCCCGGTATTCGGTCAAATTCGAGCAACGACAAGGAAAAAGAAGGGTAAAAGTCGTTGGAACGTTTCTTTCGGTTGTCAAAAGGATGATGGATCCCTTGTTGTCTTTCAACATCGAGAAATATTACGAAAGTTAAAGAAAAAGCCCCAACATTTGTATACCCTGTGTCGTTTAAAAAGTTTCTATACCCCGCGGTGTAGTTTTTTCGGCCGACGAAAAAATAACGCGTCAAAGTATTCTCGTCGCTTTTTAAGAAACGCGATAAATAGAGCGCGAAATTTAAAGATGTGAAATTCGAAGATATTTTATTCCTCGATTATAAAAATTTAACGTTAACTTCATTTCGAGTATACGTTATATATAAAATATATATATATATATATTTTGGAAGGAGGCGGTGAAAAATTGGTTGACGAAGCGATTCTCGACAAGAACGGTAGCAACGATGACGACGACAAGATTGTCGCTCGACTGACGCCTC